TGTGCATACGGGGACCCTGGCCCTTCTTGTACTGGGACACTTAGAGAGACTGATGCTTGCCACACCTCTTACAGGAAGTCCTTTGGATTAACCATTTTGGCAGTAGAGCTATCTTCACATTGAAAATAGAAAACTTGGTGTTGGTGCTTTCAAAATGTGTGTGTGTGTGTGTGTGTGTCTTTTTTTAAAATTATTTATTTATTTATGTATTTACTTATTTATTTATGTATTTATTTGTTGTGATTTTCAAGCCACCAGTTCTGGGACTTGAACCACAGTCAGCCATGTGGAAATCTAGGACCTCAACCACCATGCTACCTTCTGGCCCTCGAAATGCTCTGGCGAGTGCACGCACCCTATAACAAAAATCTCTAAAAAAGAAAAGAAGAATTTTATAAACTATGGAATGTTTCCTTGTAGAAAACTCCATATTCTAAATGATATAGCAATCAATGATTATAAATTTTTATTGTAAATTATATCTCTATATAAGACTAAAATAATTGCAATGACATGCAAAATGCTTACTAAAGGAGCCTCCGGGTGACTAGTGCTTAAGGCAATGGATTTCCACATGGCCAACTGGGGTTCGTGTTCCAGACCCAGCAGTTTGAAAATCACACTGAGAGGGTGTGTGTGTGTGTGTGTGTGTGTCCAAAATCCCAAGAGAAGAATAAAAGAGAAGAAATTGAGGCATGGCCATGCCTCCTGGAGGGTAATTTTTCATATTCTCTCTGTTTCTGTCTCTCTCTCTCTCTTTCTCTCTTCAGGGGACACAGACACCCTATGACAAAATCTAAAGAAAAAAACAGTGCTTACTAAAAAAGCATTTAGACACTCATAAAATATGCATCCACACACAGAGTGTGACTTGCTTCTTGGTTAAAAACGCTTTCTGTCTCGCTTTCTGTCTCTCTGTCTCTCTCTGTCTTCCTGGCGAGCACACACGCCCTATAGCAAAAAAAAAAAAAAAAAAAGTATTTTTCAAGTTATTCTACTTATTTTTATCATTTAAAATATTTAGTCAAATGTAAACGAAAAATAGTAAAAGTTAAATGTGAATGAGCCCGGGAAGATAAACTTCCACCCAGTATACCATGGTGCTGTTTCCAAGATAACGTGGTTCTCTGCAGTCCAGCCAAACCAGGAGAATACTTAGCCAATCAGCACTTTCGTTTCTTTTCAAAGCCTCACTTTGGAGGAAGTGTCACAGTGGGCCCAGTCTTTTGAAAACCTGATGGCTACGAAGTGTGAGTATCATGTATATTTCATCTTTAGTAACTAGTCAGTTTAATTCTTAGGGGAGGAGGGGATGCTGGATAATGAACGCATGCCCTTCCTCTCACGGCCTTCCAAATGGCAGCTGACACAGAAAAAGAAAACTCTGAGAATAGTTTGTCGTGTCAAATGCTATTATTTTCTGTGGTGTTAATTTAAACAAGATTAGTCACTGCGAATATTTACTCTTCCCAAGTGTATGTGTAAAATCTCTTGGAAAATGTGCTTACATAGTAACACGTACTGAAATACACTGTTTTAACATAGTCTTCTAAAGTTAGAAATTTTTTAATAAATCAACAATTTGCTGTTTTTAGTATCTTCCTAAGCAAGGATAAATTTGAGTCTTGACGTAAAACTTCTCAAAGTTTGTTTCTAACTTTATCAGTGCCCAATTTAAGTGGGACTCTGGGATAGTTGCGTGCAAATGATGACAGAGCGTAGCAAAGCACGTGAGGAAGATAATGTCACCAGCTCGATGAGGGACAAGTGAAGGAAGACATAAATTTCAGAGGACAGTTGATCTTACGTTTGGGGTGAAAAATGGCAGGTTGCAGAAAAAATAAATAAAAAGAGAAAAATCAGAAGGAAAAAAAAATCAGGTACAGAAAAGTATATAGTGGATACATACAGAAAATTTTCCTGCTCTCCCTGCCTCCCAGGAACCTCCTTGGTATGGACTATTTGTCACTTCCTGGCCCAGAGAATAAGGGTGAGAGTGTGACCCCCCCTCTCCAGGCTACTCCTGATGAAACATTTTTATTTGTTTGTTTGTTTGTTTATTATTGCCAGAGGGTGCATATACTCACCAGAGAGAGAAAGCCCCCTGCAAGAGGGCATGTTCATGCCACGATCCTCTTTCTTTCATTTCTCTGTCCTGTCTGGAATTTGCACACGCAACCAGGGTTTTTCCGGGTCACTCAAGCTGGGATTTGAACTGCAGTCGGCCATGTGGGGTCTGGTCCCTATGCACAGGGCTTAACCACTGTTCTGTGGCATGTACTTCATGGCCCCTGCCCTGACTCTGGGGCCCAGACCTCCGGGCTACGTCACCTGAGTGCCCATCCTTGTAGCAACCTCGCCAACGAACATTGGAGCCAGAGTTCTTCCTCTCCGCACTCCCCACAGGCTTCCACTCTTAGCGATTCCTCATAGTTTGCTACCACGATGGTGAGTTTCAAAAATATCTATCTTCGGAGCAATTTTAGGACACTGAAATGAGAGGAAGAGAATAAGAGGAAGGGGAAGAGACAAAAGTAGATGTTCAGGAGGTTATTTATACGGGTCATACCGCGTCATCCTCTGCTGATAGTTTGGATTTTAGTCCCAGCCCTCTACAATCCAGCTTTGCAACACTGTCAGATTATCCTCCCACGGGGAGTTCGATACGCGCACCTCTGAGGGGAGAAGACTGCCCCCTATCTGTCGGCATGATCGTGCGGATTCATGTAAAGCGCGCACAATGCCTGGTGCAGACCAGGCGCAGTCATTGGCGGTTATCGGTGATAAAGCACAGGTCATTCTTTCTTCTCTGTGGCCCACCCAAAAGTCCAAAACCTTGGAATTGAGGACTCTCCAAAACCTAAATCATTATATTTTCTAAAATGTAACTTTAAAAAAATGTTTATTGATTTCCTCCATGGGTGAGAGAAACAAAGACAGACAGAAAGACAGCACTCCCCACCCCCAGCAGCCCCACCGTAGCCTTGGGCAGCCCAGATCATGGGCACCCTCAGGCCTGGCAGCTCAGGGAGGCCTCCAGGTGCAAACCTGGGACCTTCCCATGTGCTCCAGCCACTGAGAACTTCCCGTTTTTACTGCTATGTCCCTATCTGGCCCCTCTAAGGCTTCTCTTCAGCTTCACCCCTGCACACAGCAAGGGCCCCACCAGCGTGACTACCACCCGTTTTCTGCTTGCGCACCTCTGACTCTTCTGTTCAGGCTTTGGCTCCGTCTTTGTCATCTCACCCGCCTATTCTGCCCATCCTTGAAAGTAAAATTGAAATTTCACCTGTTCCGTGAGAGCTTTTGGAAATACTTTTTTCTTCATTTTCTATTTTGCTGTATCATTATTAATTAGAGCCAGTTTGTATTCTGGGTCTCTTCTACAATGGCTGTCCAGATTAACTCTCCTCAGAGCACGGGTGGCCTCTGGCTCGCCTCTCCTCCCCCTGAGAGGCTGCAGACTCACTGTGCAGCTCAGGGGCATGCCATCAGTGGTCGATGAATGAATACAAGGCAAGCATTAGTATGAAAAGATTGAGATACCAGGTCATATTTTCTAAGTTTCTATGTCAGGCCTGGAGGCCTCCTAAGCAAAGTGAAGAGAGTTGCCTATTTGGCAAGAATTTAAGTGGCCACCCTCCTGGTTTGAATCAGCAATTCAGAGATCTAGTGTCCCGAGACTAACCGACATCTACAGGAAAGAGAAGGACAGGAACACGTCATGCTGCTGTTTATAAATGCCAGCAAAAAATAGGGTAAGAGTCTGGGCATAAACTGCATTATTATGAAGTCCATGTCAGATTTCAATAATCACATAATAAAAAATGAACCACCCTATGGACCATCCAACCAGAAAGATAAAACCAGGAGCACAGGATTAAACACACCAGAAGGTGCGAGCACCTACATCCACCAAGCAAGGGCACCGGTGAGATGCAGCCTCTAGGTGAAGACAAGCACAGGGCTATTTTTATGTAGATTCATATATTATTTCTAAGAACACTGTACCTCGGAAATGCACATGGGAAGGAAATATATTGGGCTGAGTCTCAACAGATGAACAGAAATTGGTTTAGGAGCAGTTCTCTGGTTGGCCATTAGGTCAACAGTCAAATTTAGCAGCTTTGTGGGAAAAGAGGATCCCCAAAACCATGAATCTGAGATCACAGCTCTGGCAAAATTTAGATGGTAACTAGAAATTAAGAGTGTTAGTGATATCTAGCAACTTCCGGCAAGATGGCTGACTACTGGGTGCACTTCCCTCTGAAAGAAAAGAGACTGATATTTACTCATAACTGTTGAGAGGGAATACTGGAGTGCAGAGGGGAAGCGGTGGAAAAGCAGGGGTGCATAGAGACTTAGAATGGACCTGCTACCACATTCCCCCTGTCAGGAGCATCTCAGAGATCCTGGGACTTCCTGTGGTAGGGAAAAAAAGGGAAAGACCCTCTGCAGCACCATTGATGCCATGAGCATCTGAGGTCTTCTCACAGACCCTAAGCTCCATCTGGAGAGCTGCTGGGGCTCTGCATCACTGCATACCCCAGAGAGAGAGCCCAGCCCACATTCGGCCTTCCCTCACCCGGGCATCCTGAGGCCACATCCACCTGGGCCTGCAGAATCTGTCTGTCATCCCAAACCCAGAGCACGGGTGCCAGCAATGGCCCCACCTACCGGAGCCTGCAAACAGAGGCCTGTGGCCTTGTGTACAGCATGCCAGCACCGGCGTCAGCCTCTCACCCAGGGCCTGTGGAACAGATGGGAGTTCTGCACCTACCATGCCAGTGCCAGCAATGGTCCTTCCAACCCAGGGCTTACAGAGGTATACCAGCACCTCCAGGCACAGCTGTTCGCTTACAGAGGTATACCAGCACCTCCAGGCATAGCTGTGCTCACGTGCCAGCAGTCCTGCCCACCTTCTAAAACAGCCCCACCTTTGACCGCACACCGGCAACGGGAGTGTCCCCACTGATCCACGGCCCACAGAGACAGACCAGCACCGGAGCAGTCTTGACAATCCATAGTTTATCAGCACAGTCTGGGGATCTGCTCTCAGCCTTGAGCCATGCACTTGAAGCCACTAGAGCAACGCGACCCACTCACAGTCTCTCTGTGCCATTGGGAGAGCTAGGTCTGAGCTGGCAGACTAGCCACTCTAAACCTTCACTCCAGACCACTGAGGCAACTACAGACATTCCTGAGGTGGAACTCAGCTGAAAAAAATTGCATGGAGACTACACTACGAAGTCCTCTCAGACCCAAAGCCAACACACACCACCCAGCTGACCTCCTATGACCCACTCCAACAGAAAATACTTCGCCACAGAAGTCACACGACGAAATTAGTAAAGGCCACTGTTCCTCCAGATGTGCACATGGCAGATGTTGGTGCAGGGACCCCGCCCCCCCGCCCGGAGAAAAAGGAAGGCAACAGAACATTCCCAAAGCAGCACAATAACTCTCCAGAACACACACCACCCAGCTGACCTCCTATGACCCACTCCAACAGAAAATACTTCGCCACAGAAGTCACACGACGAAATTAGTAAAGGCCACTGTTCCTCCAGATGTGCACATGGCAGATGTTGGTGCAGGGACCCCGCCCCCCCGCCCGGAGAAAAAGGAAGGCAACAGAACATTCCCAAAGCAGCACAATAACTCTCCAGTCGAAATGAGAAATTCAACAAACAAATCATGACAAAGAACCAGACACCTTAAAACTGATGAACTCAATCAATGAAATAAAGAGTGTAACAGAATCTTAAGAGCAGACTAGATCAAAGAGAAGAAAATCTCAGGGCTTAATGATAGATTAAATGAAGTAACACAGTCAGATAAGAAAAAAAGAATAAAAATAAAAAGTATACAAGGCTAATGGGACATTATTAGTGAAAAAATAATAGTTGCATTATAGGAGTCTTAGAAGGAGATATGACTACAAATGCACAGAAAACGGGTTTAACAAAACCAGTGAACATGCCACCAGTAGGTGGCATGATGGTTAAGGCTCTGGATTCCCACATTTCTGACCATGGTTTCAGTCTTGACCCTGGAGGCTTGAAAATCATGCTGGGCATGTATGCGTGCATGACCAAAACCCCAAGAGGAAAATGGAGGAGAAGGGATTGCAGTGTGGCCATGCCCCTGAGGGGTGATTTCTCACTTTCCTTCTCTGTCTCTTTCTAGCCAGCACGCATGCCTGGTAACAAAAACCTAAAACAAACAAACAAAACAATAGCAGTAAACT